TTTCAATATCTTTACATTGTAAAAGAAAACTACTAAAGGTTTTCGTACATTTTGGAACACAATTTTTACCATATCAATACAATTTTGACATTTATTTGAAAATTTCAATTTAAAGTTCTGTACAAATGTTTATTTTTATAAAACGTTACCACATCATTAAAAATTTAGCATTTTTATGCTGCATTTTAAGAAAAAAACTTGATAACTAAAACTTTATTGCTGAAAATATATGCTAGTTTATTTTATCGGTTGTTTCTGGCAACAAGGTATAAGAAAAGCGTGCTCGATTTTTTCGATGCCCGATTTACTTTTATTTTACGTTTCCACTATGTATAAAACGCATTTAGAAAAAGTGTACAATGTCAAGAGCTTTTACCAAACTTTTTAGAATTTAATACTTTGTTAAATTTACGTCGTAAGCGCATTATTGAAGTCACGGTATTTATATATGTATGTATTTAAATTTTAATAAAAATTATTTGTTAAATAAAATTAAATGAAACATTATGGTTTTCTTCTATTTGAATGTATTTTAAATTTTGTGCAATTTTACATAATATTTTTTTTTAATTTAATTTAATTAACCTATATTGTATATACTGTTAATTATATGGTCTAAATTTTTATCAATCAATTTTTTCATATAAAAATTTAATTTCATTTGAATAAATTACACAATTATTAATTCGATGATTCAATGTAATATTGAGTGGGAAAAAAAAAGAAATAAAATTTCCAAGTATACCTCCGATAATTTTAAAGTTTAAAACTCAAAAAAAAAAGTGTGTCTGTATATGGCCTATCATTTTAAAAAAATTCTATATAGTATTGCTATATATATGAAGAATATTTTAAAACATTTGAATTGAATTTAACAAAAATATTTCATTGAACATGCTGCTATTTTAATTTTTTCGGAAAATATTTCGGTCATCTTAGAATTAAAGTGTATGTTGCGCGCCTTGTTTCCATAAAAAATCGATAAGTATGATGTTATGATTTCTGAAGAATTTTAGATAATATTTTTATTAGGACTGCATTGTGCCAAAATCTGGTGGGGCCCTCATAGAAAATGCAAAATTGAGAAAGTGTTATTTTAATACTTCAGATAGTCTTTAAAGATATTCCAAATCTCATACACTGAAAAATGGAATTTTTTGAATTTAGGCAAATTTCCACCAAAATTTCAATACATAAAGTAAAAATAACAAACACTTACTCCAGTAGATGGCTTTATATTTTTATTTTATCGTACATATATGTATAGAAAAATAAGTGTTAACAATCATTAAGTTACAAACGTTTTCATTTCAAAGATCCCAAATGATAAATGCCTCTATACTTTAAAATTCTATTAGGAATAAATTCTTGCAATTACTGCAAGTTGTATAGAATTAAAATTTGAAATATAAATTTTAAAGTCACGATGAAATGTCGAAATACACAATTTGTATAATTGCATACCATTTATGTATACACATAATGTAAAATACTTTAACAATTTAAACAATGAATTGAAAACAAAAATTTTTTAACTATTATAATTATAGATTATTATCACTACCCATTATAATTAGTCATAATAAATATTATACAAAATTAAAAAATAAAAAAAAAATATTGTCATGTTAAAAATAAAGTTCAAGGTCTATTTCAATGACAACATATACTTGTTTTGCTTCTCAAAATTAACTATATGAAATAGCATTTATATTGACCTCTTCAATTAAAACTAGATAATTGTATTCCAAATTAAAAAAGAAAAAAAGTTGACCATCTCAACTCTGTGATGAGGAGTTTTCCCAAGAGCTATGTGATATTTGACAAAAGGAGCCAGTATTAATTTTCTTTTGAAGTGGTGGAACTGTTACAGCACCCGTTTATGAGAAATTTCAATACTGCAGATTTAATAGTTTCCAAATTTAATAGTCTTAATGAAAACTTAGACAAAACTCAATTCTTTTAGAATGACCATATTATCAGGCTAATTTATGTGAAAGTTGAGTTTCTAAAATATAAGTAAATTATATTTGGAAATTTAGAGAAACTATTTTGAATATCAAATTTTATTGAAATACTAACCCTTTATATTCAACAAAATTTCAATACTCCGAGATTTAGTAGTCAATTTAAATTGAAGGGCTTAAATTACGTGAAAAACAACTAATATTTTGTACGATTATGGTCAACTCTTATGAGTTATCGCTGGAGCAGACGAACAGACATATGTTAATTGACTCACAATTCTACAAAAACAGCGACATCAAATCGGACTCCCAAATTTATAACACTCTTCTATACGGGTACATAAACTATGTACAAAATTTAAGTTTTAAAAGTAAAAATATATTATATGAAAAAATTTTCCAAGAAATTTCCCAATAAATCTGCCTATATTTACAGTATATATAATGTACTCGTAAATGTGACAAAAACCTTAAAATATTTAATATTAAATGTACAAGTATAGTATTGTTTGATTGTCCTTAAACTTTAACGAATTAAATACATAGTATATAATTTTTATTATCTATATGTAATTGAATATTGTAAGAAATTCTTCTGTATATTTTTAAAAAGTTGTCAACTCATTGCTCATTCTTTGTATACACTAGTTATATGCATAAGTAAAGGATATGTTTTATACATGAAAATACACAAAACTCAATTCGAAAAAAATTTTATTTTATTCATAATCCTTATTGATCATACCAATAATAATGATAATAATAGTAATAATAAATTGTAATTACTTCGTTCATTTAACAATATTCACATATACATATATATATATATATATATATATAGTGTTACCATATATACTTTGTGTTATACTCTTCAAAATAATATTCATTTATGTAATTCAAAATTACCATACTCAATTATTTAATTTTATACAATTACACATTCAATAACTGTTATAAATATTAACATTACATATCCTCAATATAACAAAAAAAAAAAAAGAGAAATAAAAATTAATTTTTTTTTATTTTGCTTCTTTCTACAAGTATTTTGTTGTTATTACTTTTTTTTTTTATTACCATTATTTTCTAGTTTACCATTTTCTTTTCATTATAAATATCGACCATCCTTAAATTAATATTCAATTATATTCTAGAATGATGTACGTATATACATTATTATATATCTCTTATTTAACCCATATGTATATATGTATACATATGCCTGTATTACACAAAATTGTATTGAAAAATATAAAAATTTGATGATATATTCTTGTAATTATAACGAATAAAAATTACATACATATACACATATTGTTATATTCATGCTCACACACCTACAAATTACAGAAACCGTAACAATTATTTCGAACATAAGTTTAAGGTCATATACAGAATAATATACAATATATACAGGACGTACATAAATAAATTTATCAAATAATTTCTAAAAATAACTAAAAAATATACACTGTAAAAAATAATTTTAATATTACAATTTAACCTTCTTTCAATATTCCTTTTAAATATTGAATTCAACTTGTTATTTTGCGATCTTCTTTCCAAAAAACAAACTGACGAAAATAAGGAATATTTACTTTAATACATGTGTCCATTAAAGTATAAAAATGTCACTGCATGATCTAAAAATTATTACGTCATATAATATATGTAATGACATAATGTTATGTCAAAACTAATAAATTTCATCTTGAAAACTGTTTAACATTCATATCCTATTAAATTATTGATTTTACCACCAAATACCTAGCTTAACAATATGAAGGCAATATTATTTTAATATTTTAGGACACGAATTAATAAATAAATTTAACAATAGATACCGTGGCTTCCTTTATTCTCTCAAATTACTCTCTTTGATATCCTTTTAAATTCTCCCAATTATATTTTCTTCTGAATATTAAATGATTTTAATGAGTTTTCTAATAAGAAATCAAATTTTTAAAGTATAATGTTCACATATCGGCCATTTGCTGTAATAGTGCCAAAAAATATAATTTCTAAGTTATTTATACAGAAATAAGCAGGAATATTTATACAAAAATAAGAATTTAAAACGTTTCGTTTTTATGCAAAAACTCCATTTCTTTAGCTTGAAAATTATCCTTTACTAGAAATTGTAAAATAATGCTATGCATATAAGAAGAAAAATCTCCATTAAGTCTAAAATTCGATTTCCCCAAATTCGCCAAATTTGATTACATAAGTATTACAGCAAATAAGTAATATTCAAGTACAATAGTTTTATAAAAAACATAATGTAAAATTACTCAAATTACAAAGAATAAATTTATTTTCTACTCTATACCTAATTTTATCAAAATTCAATAAAAATTTTTTACAGTGTACAAAAATATTACAAAAATTTAAATATTTCGGAGTTTTATTATTATAATTACTTATACGTTCGTATACATATGTTAAACTAACATGCTCTTTAAATGTAATAAAGACCCAGAAATCTAAAAAAAAATTAGATTTAGATATTTTGGAAATAAATTTTTCAATACACACATGTTAACCGCCTCCAAGCAAACTGTGTAATCCGTATACTAATATTCTTCAAGATTTAAGTTAAACATGCTTTATTACATTATATAAAAGACATGAATGAATCTTATATTCAGTAATAAAACTTTCTACTTTACGATTTTTGTAGTATTCTTTATTAAATAGCTTTTGATATTCCTTATTATACACGTGCCGTAAATATAGGGAAAACAGCAATATAACTAAAAAATATATATGTATAGCATTTTGTTAAAGTGAGATTTCATTATTTTTATATTTAATTAAACATCTTTTGTATTGTATGTATTTAATTATATTATTTATATATATATATCATATATATGAGATAAATATAGAGTGTAATTGTTGAAAAATTAATCAATTAATTATTTTATTAATTTATATACTATATATTATACATATACACATATTATATCTAATTTTTCCATTTATTTCTTTCTTTTCCCTTTTTATTATAATCTAAAACGAAAAAAATTATAGAATAGAAAATAATCGACCAAATTTAATTATAATATCAATATCAATGATGTACTGTATTAAAACAACAGTAGAATGTTGGAAATTTGATGCACGTTTTGCAAGTGATTCAGGACGAAATGGGAATACAGGTGGTGGTGGTGGTGGTGGAGGTGGTCCTGGTGGTGGTGGTGGTAATAGTAATGTAAATGGTAATAGTAATACAAATACTGGTAGTAATAATGATAGTCCTACTAATAATGGTGGCGGAGGTGGTGGTGGCAATGGTAGTAATAATAATAATCATAATACTAGTTATCCAAATAGTAGTAGTGCAACAAATAAAATTGTTCCATTTCATCCAAATGTTCAAGATATATTATTTCCATGTGAATTAAATTCAATGTGCCAATGTGCCAGTTTACCAAATGACACAACAACATTAGTTGAAATTAATTGTAATTCAGTTACATTATATAAATTTCCTGGTATGTATTATTTATATATATTATGTATTATAATGTATTAAATAAATAGTTTATGTAGGGTGAATAAAATTCATAAAGAGTGTCCGAAACTTGAATGGACTTTCGAAACAAAATTACAAATAAAAAATTTCAGTGACACGCACTGGGAAGAGATTTTTTTGTTATCCAAAATGAATGAGGATCGGAATCCGAATTAGTAGCGGAAAAGGAGGGATCCGGTGGTATCAAAGCGCGCCTAGTTGGCCTATGTGTACCCTTGGGGGTGCCGCGGCAATCTAACCTAACCTAACCTAATTGCGAAAATAAGACATTTGCCTGTATTGTCTTTGTCTATTATACATTTGGATCCATTCTTTAACTTTGCTTCGAAAATACCATCGAAACTCGGACACCTTCTGTATTTTGTGTATATAAAATAAAAACTATGTTATTATATAAATTAATTGATCGTATAAATTTAAAACATAATTAACTTTCCTTCAGAAGACTTTCTAATAATAAATGATAATTATACTAAGAAGTACTGATGAGCTGTACTAGGAAATTTTTAAATAAATTTCCTTATATTAATTTTATAAGAAAATTAATTTATTTATTTAGCTTTTATTTTAATATTCAACATAAATATTAATTTTGTATGTTAAATTTAGAATATTACATATAATTATAAATTTTCTATTTTTATACTTAAATACAGAATTTTTACAAAGTTCAATTAGATTTATTGAAATAACAAGATCACATTTACAAAGTGTTGATGAAGAAACATTTCAAGGTTTAAGACTTGAAACATTAAAATTAATTGAAAATAAATTACAAGATATAGCAGAAAGAAGTTTTAGGTAAATTTATTTATAATTCTAATTAAAATTTCAAAATTAATTAAAAACACATTTTCATATTTTGCAGTACTATGACACATACACTACTAACCTTGGATCTTACAGGGAATCAATTACAACATATACAATTACAAGCTTTAAATAATTTACATGTCCTAACGAGGCTTGTAGCTCAAAGGTGAGTAGCTTTAAAATTTTTCTGTTCTCTTATATGCTATTAATTATGGTTGTTTAATTAAGAGTCTTTCCTTTAAAAAATTTTATACAAATTAAATTTATAAAATGCAACTTGGCATATTTAATCTAAATTTTTATTCTTTATTCTTTCAGAAATTATATTACAACACTAGATGGTAATTGGGGTAGTCTATGTGACAGTTTACGTAGCATACATTTATCTGGGAATCAAATATATGAGCTCAGTACAACATCATATAATAATCATGATGATTTATTAAAACGTAATAATATAACATTTTCATCTTTAAGTACATTAAGACAATTATCATCTATATCTTCTTTATTATCATCATCAACAGCATTATTAAATGGTGAATCTTTACTATCAGGATCATCATCATCATCATTAGCATCATCGTCAGCGTTATTATCAGCGAACAATAATAATAATAATAATAATAATTTAATATCAGGTGTTGGACCATCACCAATATTAACATCATCATCATTAATTAATACAAATCAAATAATAAGACCATTTTCAAAATTACGTAAATTAATATGGTTAGATTTAAGTAATAATCGTATATATCATATATCAGAAACATATTTACCACGTTCTTTATTAACAATTGATTTAACAAAAAATTTATTAACAATATTTCCACATCATTTATTTGGTCATTTACATGATCTTCGAATAATATCATTACGTGATAATCTTATTCGAATGTTATTTAATAATAATTTAAATAGTTTTATTAATATTAATAAAAATTCACAATTAATACGAATACATTTAGAAAAATTAGATTTAGGTATGAATTTAATTGATGAATTACGAACAGATTGGTTTCAAAATTCTCAAACTGATGTTCGAATAAAAGCATTAAATTTAGAAAAAAATTATATAAAATCATTACCAAGTTCAACATTTACTGGTATTGGTATAATACATTTAGTATTAGCATTTAATGAAATTGAACGTATACATATTGATGCATTCGATGGTATATTAAATACATTAGAATATTTAGATTTAGAAAGAAATCGTTTACAGAGTGTACCGGGTGCTATAAAAAAATTAAATAAATTAAAATATTTATATTTAACAGCAAATCAAATAGCACATTTATCAAATTTACCGGAAATACCATATAATTTACGTGTATTAAGTATAAGTGGTAATAATTTTACAACAATACCAATTGATATATTAAAAAATTATACAGAATTATCATATTTAAATATTGGTTATAATATGATTGCTGATATACCAGAATTAGCATTTTTAAATTGGGGTAGCCATTTACAAACAATATTATTACGTAATAATAAAATAACATCATTACAATATAATTCATTTGCTGGTTTAGATTCAATTAAAGAAATTAGTTTAAGTTTTAATGATATTGTATATACAAATCCATATGTTTTTGAGAATGTATCAAAAACATTAAAAATTCTTGAATTATCATTTGCAATGTATCGTGATGAATTTCCTATGGAAGCATTATCACCATTAACTGAATTAATGTGGTTAGGTTTAGATAATAATAATTTAAAATTAATAAAAAATGAATCATTATCAACAATGCATGAATTAACATATATTAATTTAAGTTTTAATCAAATATGTCAAATATTAAATGGTTTATTTAATGGTGATATACATAAACATTTAATTGAAATTGATATGTCATATAATTTAATTGAAAATTTAACATCGAAAACATTTGATAATCTTGAAAAATTACAAATATTAAATTTACAATCAAATAAAATTAATATTATTGAACGTCATAGTTTTTTTAATTTACCATATTTAAAATATATTGATTTATCACATAATAAATTATATAATATATCAGAATCAGCATTTGCATTTTTACCATCATTAACTGAATTAGATTTAACATATAATTTATTAACAAAATTCTCATTAAATTATTTTTATTATGTTACAAATTCAACAAATTTATTAAAATTAAATTTAAGTCATAATGAAATAATTGATTTTAATGATATATTAATATCATATTTATATATTAATGAATTAGATATTAGTTATAATTTAATAACAAATACAAATTGTTTTTCAAATTTAGGTAATTATATTAAAATAATTAATTTAAAATCAAATAATATTAAATTATTGGGTAATCATGCATTCGGTGATTTAAAATATTTAGAAATATTAAATTTATCAAATAATAATATAACATCAATAAGAAGACGTAGTTTTCAAGGTTTAAATAGTTTACAAATATTAGATTTAAGTTTAAATAATATTGAACAATTACAAGCTGAACAATTTTCAAATTTAAAAAAATTACGTATATTAAATTTAAATAATAATAGATTACGTGCATTACCACGTGAAGTATTTATGAATACACGTTTAGAATATTTAGATATTAGTTATAATCAATTATCTGTATGGCCAGTACCAGCATTCTCTGATATTGGTTTTACATTACGTAGTATACAATTTATGGAAAATAATTTAGAATATTTAGATTCAAATATGTTTATTAATTCACAGTTCCTTTTTGATTTAAATTTATCGCGCAATAAAATTACAGTACTTCCAGATAATACATTTATGTTCCTTAATAATTTAACAAATTTAGATTTAAGTTATAATCCATTAGTAACAAGTAATTTAAAACAAGTTTTTTTACATACACCACGTATTAAATATTTAAATTTACAAGGTGTTAATTTATTTGAATTACCCGAATTAGAATTACCATATTTAACAAATTTAGATATTAGTAATAATCATTTACAAGAATTATTAAAATTAAATGAATTATATAATTTAAGAAAAATAAATGTATCATATAATAATGTTATAAATATGAGTAATATTGTTGAACAATTACCAATTAATTCAATAAAAATTTTAGATATATCAAATAATCCTTTACGTCGTATTACAATATTTGATATGCAATTATTACGTAATATTGATGAATTATATATGATGGATATTAAAATAACAAATCCACAAATATTTTCAAAATTAAAAATTATTAAAAAATTATCAATAACATCATCACAATATTTTGGTGATATTATATCAAAATTATTAAGTTTACAAGAATTATATGTTAATATTAATGATAATGATATTGATAAAGAATTATTTTCAAAATTAATAAATAATACAAAATTAAATTTAATTGAAATAAATGGTAAAAATGTTAATACAATACATAGTCAAGCATTTGAAGGATTATCACGTATACATAATTTAAAATTACGTTTACGTAATACAGAAATATCTGATTTACCACCGAGTATATTTTATCCATTAAAATCAATATCACATTTAACAATTGATATATCGGATAATAAAATAACAGCATTAGCAGCAGATAGTTTTTATCCAAATATTAGTTATTGGGATAGTGTTGGTACACGTAATATTATTGGTGGAATTGATACAGCTAATAATCCATTAGAATGTGAATGTGGTTTAGTATGGTTTGGACATTGGTTAAGAAGATGGTTACGTGAATCAGCTCAAATAAAAGTAATTGGTAGTATTGAATTAAAACAAATGGTTCAAGTAAGTTTAATATTAAATCTTATGATATCTTTTTTTTTTATTTTTATCAAATTTAAGAAAGAATATTGTGCTCTCGTTCTGATTATTTGTAGCATGAATTAATATTAATAATATCCAACAACAATACGTTCTAGTAATTCAGTTGTACATTTGAACTTATATAATTAAATTCACTCAAAATTCAACATATCTTGAGTAAAAAAATATGAAATGCAATAATTATGTATATAGCTTCTGTGCACCTAAAAGTATGCAATTTATTTGGAATATCTTTTCTGAGGATTAATTCATTGGCGCATAACATGCCCAATTATAGCAACATTACAATTTTAAAATAATTTCCATTTTATAATTATAATATTATATTTATAAGTTTTTTTAGTATTTAATCTTCATTAAAGCCGGAAGATTATTTTCTGATTCAATTTTTACGGATCTTACAAATTAATTTCTTTTTTAAAAATTTGGGCCATTTTACTTTAGAGTTTGGCTCCTAACATTTTTTATGTACTGCTTCTATATACAATCTATTTAAAAATGTACTCTATATTTACCACAAAAAGCTTCCTAGCTAAAATTTTCCTTATTGACAAACTTTGAATTAGGTATATTTTAATTGGTTCTTTTCTAATTTTAATTTTAATATATAATATTTCAATAATTATAAAATTTTTCAAATAATTAATTTTTTTTTTTTGTATTTTTCAGAGAGCACGTGCAAATTTTTGCGTTGATCCAATAACTGGTAAACGTCAACCTATATTAGAAATATTCCCAGAAGATTTAATGTGTCATGCTAGTGCATTAAGTAGTTCAAGTCGTAAAGCTGAAACAAATATTATATTAATTTTATTTATACTACTGACTGATATTATAATAATATTTAATTATTATTTTCATTATAACTATTCTCTTATTTTATTGTAAATAACTTTGATATGAAAATAATTTTCAATTAATTTTAAGTAGTAATGTTAGAGACTACATATATATATATAAAATATTTAAACTAATATAATAAATATAAATAAATATGAATATAGAAATTAAAAATTGTAAATTTAAAATAATATATAAGTATAATAATAAATATTATTTAGTATAAGCTTAGTAAGTTAATTAAATTAAAATAATTAAATTGCACTTATATAAATTATTTAAGATGAGAGAAAAAAAAAAATAAATAGCATCGTCATTATTACTACATATATAAAAATGTTATGTATTGTAATATTATAATAAATTTAAAAATGAGGCAATAATTAAATATTCTTTAAAGAATTAAAATAATTTTGCATTAAAAACTAAGTAGATATAATATAAAAATCAATTATATAAGATGATTTATTAAAATGTGGTTACGTATGGTAAAATGACCTAAGTTCAATTTTTGTAATTTTATAGTTTATTTATTACAAATTCAAATTTTTCATAATTTAAACTAGATACCGAAAAATTTTATTAATGAATTTTACTTGTTTTCGAAGTCATGAATTCTTTTAAAATTAAAAATATTCACCCTTATTGTATAAGCATGACTCAAAATTATAGGCTAGTATTCAAAAACGTAGCGATTTTCAGTATAGAATCTCAAATTTCGAAATTAATTATTTCAGAAAATTTAGAAATTATTTAATAATGTCACATCAATTCAAGTTATATGTATAATTAAGATAATATAAATGATTTTTTAAGGTTTTAAAAACACATGTTGAGTTTATAAGCCCAAAAAATTATATTACAATAAAAATAAGGAATTACAAACCAAATATGTTAAGCCAATTTTAGTAATTTTTTTTGATATCTTAGTAAAATTTAATTATTGTAGATCAATTATTTCTAAATCTTTCATATAAATGTATGAAATTCATACCTACAAATTCTTTTCTTTAAAATTAGTTCAAAACCTTAATTTTAATTTCCTCAGAATTTATATTATTTCAACTTAGGCATTAATTCTTTATACAACCACAAAAATTAAAACTATAATAACAATATTGATATATGAATTTTTGAAATTATCTATTTATTTAATAAATTGTATACATATTAAGTATACTACTGTTATATAAGTAAAACAAATTCACAAGAACATTATAAGTATATAATTACAAAAAAAAAACTCATATAATATATAAATATAGTAAATTAAGAAAATGCACTTAAAGAAACGAACACTGTCACAATTATATACAAAATAGATTATAGATTTATATGTATAAGATAAAAAAAAAAAACCAAAAAAAAAAAATGAAAAAAATTACATAAAAAACAAACAACAGTAAATTCTATAACCAAAATATTTCAAAGGTTATTAAAAACATATTATTTTATAATATAATAAATAATAACTAATTAATTAAATTCATTTTATTTTTAAATCAATAAAAACAAACAAACTATTATCAATTAAAATGCAAGTAGTATTTAATTAGTATAACAAAATAAAACAAAAAAAAAATAAACTTGAAAATTTTTTTGCACGTCAGGATTTTGTTTTTTTTGTTTTTCTAATTTTTATACTTTTTTAGAAATTCAAAAATAATATTTATTAAAGTAAAATAAATTAAAATAATAATTTTATACCAATAAAATGTACATAAATTAATTATTAGAATTATATATTAAGAGAAACAATTTAATGATTAAAAATAACTATTATATACAAGTATGTATAACAAAAATATAAATATAATAATTATTCTAATCAAATATCTTCTGTACAAATTATGCAATTTATCCTTTCAAAATTTCTTCCTCATCATCAATTAAATTAAATCTTATAAATTTAAAAATTTTTTTTATATCCTCATAAATATTAAAGTTTTAAAGTATAGCTATAATTTAAGAGAAAAAAAATATATTGGAAATATTCTTATTATTAAATTATTGAGAATTTATTACATTTAATAAATTTCAATAATTATTTTATGAATTTCTTATTATTTTGTTTTTTAATATATTTACAATGTTATACAATTTCATAAAAGAACAAAGAAAATTTTAATATTTTCATAAGAAAAAGGCACATCAGAATTAAATTTTAAATCAATATTTAAATTCTTAACTTATTTATATCTAATTACAAATAATTTTAAATATTTATACTATATTTAATTTAATTAATTATTTCTTACTAAAAATTTTTAAAATAAATTAAATTTTTTAATGAAAATGCACTGAAAAAAAAATTAAGAGTTCTAACAATTTAATTTTAAATACTCAAAGTAACAATGAGATATTAATTTAAATTATAATTTAAAATTGTTTTCAAAAGAAATATAAAAATATTAGTAGTTGCATTATCATAATATGATAAGGGAGCTAGGAACAACAAATATTCTTCGGAAATATTATGAAATATCGTCAGAAATTCACGCTAGATTGTACTATAACCAAAATCATGTCTAAAATTTTTTCCAATTGGTATTGTCTATTAAAAAATTTTAGCATGATCTATTTAAAAGTCTATGATTTTTTAAATAAGCATAGCAAAATACACTTTCTATTTCTATTTTATAAAATAAGAAAATTTTAAAATTTTTTATATAGGTATAATTATCTCATTGTTTCTTAACAGTATCTACATTATGTAATCCTCCGAATTACATAAAAAAATTTTTGAATTATTTTACTGTCGTAGCTGTAATTTGTTTTTTATAAAACTAAAATATTTTATAATAAAACGAGATTTCCTATTTTATAATACCTCATCTCTTTATATTATGCTATAAAATTTTTGTTATAGTTTTTGAGGAATTATTATAAAAATCTGTAGAAGATTGATTTGAAAAAAAATGTAAGATCCTTTAAAAAAATGCGTATATAAGACAAAAAAAATTTTTTTAGGAATATATTGTTTTCGGAATACAAAAGCTGATCCAGATTAAATTTTATCTTGGCATATTTTGTAAAAATAAATTTAAAACTCATAATGAGTTTTAATTACATAACTTTCAAACTCAAATAATTGAAAAATATTGCAATATTTTAAAATTTTGTTTAGTCAGTCCTAATTTTTTCACGATTCTCCTTATGTATAACATGAACTATAATCTAATATTTTTATACACACGTTCATTAATCTTATTAGTTCACAACACGTTGATAGATTTTTTTTAAATACAAAGCCAAACTTATGTTTGCTATAATTTTTAAAATACTGAATACAATATTGTGTTGCAAACTTATGATTCCCAAAAAGTTCATTCTCCCAATTCTTGAATTTTTAAAATAGTAACCAAAATGCTTATGAACCAATCTTATTAAATAAACAAGAATCAAATGGTTCATAAATGAAATCGATTCCAATAAATGCAATTTTAGATTTTAGTATCTGAAAATTTATTGAGCTTTGAACTTGAACTTCATACCTAAAAATTTAATCTACCCAAAAGGGTCTATAAGTTAATCAAGCTACAGATTGCCTAAAACGCTTGTTCTTACAGTACATATGAGTAATAAGATTAATATTAGAATTGAGACACCATGTATATATTATTATATTAATATTTACACAAAATTGAGCATTTCAATAAATATTTAAACATATTTATAAATACACAAATTTATATTAGTATTTTATTAAAGTAAGAATTTTTTCTTTAGAAGCAAAATTATATAATAAGTTGTGAATACACAATAAAATTCCATTAAAAAAAAAAAGTCACTATTACAAAAATAAAAACTTAAAAACAAGAAAATTAAAACAAAAAATTGTAAAATAAACTATTATAAACTAAAAAATACTTATGTAAATATTATTAAATATTAAAATTGAAAAATTAATATAGATATATTTAATTATTTTAAATATATCTCTAAATGAACAAATAAATAAAAATAAATATTGTAAAAAAGAAAAATAGAAATTAAAAGAAGAAAAAAAAAAATTATAGACAATCGTGATATTCAGTGTAGTATGTGATTTAAAATTAAGTTTAAAATAAATATAGTTATTAAAAACAACTATAAAAATTAATTATTACAAAACAAAAAGAAATAAAATAATAAAAAACGAAAAAAAAAATTATAAAAATAAAATATAAAAATATTAAAAAATATAAAAGTTAAAATTACATACTATAATTATTAAATTAATTTTAAGATAAATATAAGCAATTGACTCCTATAATACTATGTAAAAAAATATAATTACTATTTAATTAAATGAATAAACTATTTCTTATTCTGAAATGTAAGAGTATATTAAAAATAATTTAAAATTGTTTAAAAATTTTGAAATTTAAAATGAAAAATTTTCTTGAAAATGATAACAAAATTCTATAAATTCATTATTTTTTTTTATGTTAAAGTTTTCCGAATTCATCATACTAGTATTGGTTCTCCAGCGCGTTCAATTCTAAGATTTAATTTAGAAGAAAATTCGTATAGAACTACGAAGTGCAATACGGCAATTCCGCTCTGCTTGTTAACGACAGCAGAACCAGGACTCCTGCATAAATTCTTATAAATCTAATAACAAAAATGTTCATGAATCTTCTTGGAATTTAAGAATTAATGTAAGTTACAATGCAAATACAATATTTTCACAAAACCATTTTAAGAACAGAAAATTTTGGGAGAGTGAAAACATTAATATTTGCGTATAATCTGAAATTAAAGTTAATGAAATTTTACTTTTTAAGATATTATTTCTTTTAAGATATAAAATTGTACTTTTAAAATTTTCAACTTTATTACCTTATATATTTCGCCAATTAACTATTCGCCAATTTCTCAAAAAACATTAGGTTACCATAATTCACCCGCTGTTCAAAAAAAAATAAAAACTCCTTATTAATTCTCATACATTTTACGTTTAATGATTATTAAAATTAAAAACGTTCGCCTAAATTTATGCAATTTTCATATATTAAAAATAATTTCTTCCAAAATTCATTTTCTATTAGCTAAAACAGATCAAAATGGTTTTATATTAAAAAAATATCTACAACATTATAAATAAAATTTATATTTTTATTTCAAAAAAATACAAATACATTTCAGAATAAAATAAAAAATTAAAGAAAATAAATAAATACTTACTAATAATAATTGTATTTAAAAAATAAAAAATACTTGTGTAGTTTATTAATTAAAAAAAAAAAATATTATTTAAAAGAAGCAAGAACTATATTTTATTGAAATAAAGAAAAAATACCAACAGAATATTGAACCTAAGAATCCTCTGAAACAATAACATATAATTAGTAGGACCCTACAATTTAATTTACGTATTATATGAATTTAGTGAAAAACTCATTTCTTTTCTGACTCATTAAAATTTTGGAAGCTATTAAAAATAAAAAGATGTTTTTTTTTTTGTGAAGAATTTCCTACTCAAATAACAAACTCATGTATTTTAAACTATTTACCAACAATTAAGAAATTTGGAAACAAATTTCGTCACTACAAATTTACAACAGTTGTAATTTTATTTAGGCATTTAATTTTATAAGCTTCTTTGTTCAGACTTCAGAATAGAAAATGAATTATCATTTTACTTTCACGGTTATCATTATTCCTATTTTAATTATTACCTATTCACATCACACTTATAACACATTGTGTTGATAAGCCTTCTAAAAATAATAAAAAAAAAAAATTATTACCTATATAAAATAATTATAAATGCCCATCATTTTTAAATTTCAAGAAATAAAGTAAACATAAAATATTCGAATTAATGTTTTCCAAGTCCTAATTCATATAGTGAAACATTCAATTTGAAATACTAGATAGATTCAATTAATCAAGAATCTCAGATAAAATTTTTATTATTATCAGAAATTTTCTAACTTCTATAACTTCCAAATTTTGTCCCAATTCCAAGCCTTTTCAATATTAAAAAAAAAAATTCAAATATTAATTTGTTTTAATTTAGTTTCATTTACAAACCAAAATCAAATGAAATGAAAGCCATTAATATTCAAAATTCATACGAAAAATTTAAGAAAAAAAAAAATGAAATTAAATTTCATTTCATAATTGATTTATATACGGAATATTGTCAGAAATAAAACTAAGAAAAATTATATTGAAATTAATTGAAAATTCATAAAACCAAGGAACAAAAAAAATGATGAAAAATAACACTACACCTAAAAAAAAAATTTCATATGTAATAAAAATAGAATTATTAAAATAATGATAAATTAAATATATAGAAAATTTTAATAAAAAATTAATAAAATAAATTGTAAGTAGTTTTTATTTAATCATATAATTTTAATGCTTATCTCCACTAATTATAAAATTTAAAATTTTTGCAGCTATGATTCACATTTGGAATAGTCACATTATTTGGAAAAATCCCATTATATTTTTTTTATTCTTAAATCTCATCATATATAATTTTATGAAAAAAAAATAAAGTGAGCCTGAATATTGAAACCAGTGATTTATTTTATTACTGTACACGAATTTATCGAGAATTTCAAAGCAAGTAAATGATGTAGTTGCAGCTATGTAAGCATACATACTTTTAATTTCTAAAAAATTGAATATTTTCACTTGGTCGCAAATGATTTTGTGCTCAATTTTTTTTAATGATTCTTCTACTTTTTTCTTTATTACTCTACATAGTCCAAAAACTAATTTAATATTAAGGAATGGAATTTAAACATCTTAAATTTTATGTAAGACATACACAATAAATATTACTTTAAGCCAAATATATTAAATTTGTATTCTATATATATATATTTATATAAAAAGAAATTGAAAATTTAATAAAATATTTTTCTAGCTACCGATATTAAAGAAAATCAATATTGTTATTAAAAACTTTTATTAGTTTACATATTATAAATTTAGTTTCCAACAATATTTTATTAGGAATATTAAAATTTTTAAAATATTTAAATATTTTATGTTTCGGATATTTTAGATAGATAAATTTTGTATTATATTTTATATGTATATATCCTTACATATTATGTAAATATGATATACAAAACAAATCCAAATTTATACATTAAAAAATTTAAAGTACTAATACAGCAAAAATTTATTTAAAAACTCTTAAGAAAATTCTGAATAAATTTCTTGATTCCTATATAATGCAATTAAATTTTTTTGATAGGGGATTTTCTATAATTTATACATTCACTGAAATTTTTTAAATTAAATCTTAAAAATCTAATCACACTTACCAATAAATTTACAGAAACTGAATTTGTAATTCAGTTATTTAAAATTTTCGATTTGTAATACACTCGAGTAATACTTGAATATTCAACATTTTTGCCCCTCTTCTAATTTTCTAACATTTTTGCAGTAAAATTATAAAAAAAAAACTTAAAAATTCCTTTATAACTTTAAGAACAACTTTAATTTTCGAACATGCTATTTTTGTGGATTTTGCAGTTTATATTTTTCGAACTTGCTTTATATTAAGACCAAAGTTAGAATTGAATTATCGAAAATCCACACACATAGAATTAGATAGATTTAGACAGGCAAAAACTACTGATATGTGAAATTTGGGTTCTAAAATTGGAATAACTTTACTAACTTTTCCCCGTGAATATATTTAATAAAAACCTAATATACGCTACCCAAATAACTTTAAAAATTATTCAAAATTTTATTTAAAAAATAATTAAATTTATTTTAAATTTTTCTATACATCAGTTAACATTACTACTTATTTACTATTTATTTATATATGTGTATAAAAGTTTATTATAATTAAAAGCAATATATAAGGAAAAAACAAATTAAAATTTAATTTTTTTTTTTTACATTTTTTTCAAAATTTTTTCTTATAAATAAATTTAATTTTTTGTTTTTTTGCATTTTTCATTCCAGTACTATTTAAAAAAATTTTTTTTTACTTGTATATTTTTATATTTATAATAAAATCAAATATAAATTTTAAAAAATTCCGGAATAAGAAAGCAAAAAAAAATTTCATAAAAATTTTAATTTTAATCCTTTGTAAATTTTTTTAACGTATTGGAAAGATTTTCAGATAATTAATTGATTAATAATTTTATTATTAAATTATAATGCAGAAAAATTTTATATTTATTAAATTTATTTGTTTAATTTTGGTTTCTACTGATTCATATTTAACTGAGATTTATAATATCATAAACAAAACTGTGAAAACTTAAACAATTGTGCTAATTGTGGTGCGGTAGACCTGATGCATCAGCTACGTCAACCAATCAAGTAACCAATCAAGTTACCAACCAAATAAATTGTTAAATAGGACAATATGGTCAAGAAGTTTCATTTTCTACTTTAGATAAAAATTTTATTTTTCTAACAAAAAATCAGCTGCACTAGAGCAATTAATTAGTTTTGCACTATTTGCAATTGGTTGTGAAAATTTACTAATGAATTTTGAGTAGTTATAGTTTTATAGCGATTGGGCAATATGTTTAAGCCTTAATTTAATTTAAACGAGGTATGAAAATAATGGAATTCTTCATATTTCTGAGCTTATAATACACAAACAGATATAATACAATTTTAAATGCACAATTGAAAAAAAAAAATATTGTAAAGAAATCTATAAAATACAATTTCTTAATTTAACATAAGCATAGTCGACATATACTGTAGGCATAAGCATATAAAATCAACGAAATATATGAATTAAACTAACAAGAATACAACGAAATATTGAAATTTGAATAATATTAAATTAACATTTTTGTTGTCTTTTATTAGATTTCTGTATAACAGACTAACTTAATTTAAAAAGTACAAGTTTGCAACTAAAAAATTTTGAAATTTACATGTTATTTAATTAAATGTTATAAATTAAATACAACCTTCAAGTCCTAATTTATATAAAATCTTTACAAAGGATTAAATTATTAAAAAATTTTCGATTTTAATTATTAATTAGTAAAATTTCTTTCTTAACTTAAAATTAAATTATATTCTTTAGTATTAAAAATTCTAGTACATATAATTATAATGGATTGAAAAATAAATAAATCTCGTGAATGGTTTTTTTTTAAATTAAAATTAAAATTATAAATTATTACTATGTTAATTTTATTGTAATAATAATTAATTAATAATTATAATTAAATTTAATATAATTTTAAAGAAATTTAAACTACAAGACTCGAGAAAATAGTTAATAAAATAAGAATAGCTTGTTACCGAAACTTATTTTTAATATTTTCAAATATTTAGAAATTTGCCTAAAATTAGAGAATTTTCAAATTTTTAATGGTCCTATGAAAACACAAAACTGAAAACATTCAAAATGATGCAGTAAAATTAAAGCGAGAAGAATTAATTAAATATTCAAATTTCCTAATTTGTTCAATAAATATTTAAGAAAAATCTTTAATTATTACTAAAATTACAAAATGAAAATTCAAAAACCAGTCACAAATTCAAAAACCAGACTCTATTTATAATTCTCTATAATTATTAAACTCTATAATTATTAAACAGAAAGAAATTTTCAATTATAGGCAATAAATTCAATTAACTTAATTAATTCTATCTTCCCCTCATTTTTCATCTATCCTAGATTCATAATTTTTAACATTTCTGTTAGTTTATTATGTAAAGTTTCTTTTTCTATTATAAGCCTATATAAAAAATTAATTTAAATTAATTTAAACTAGTTTATAAATTTATAAATTTAATATTATGTTAAAATTAATTTTATTTATTTTTAATTAGTAACCGAAATTTGATCTCTAACTGTAGCTTCTCTAAATTCTGTATTCATATATGATTTAGCACTTTCATTCGGTATACTATGCTGGCCATGATGTATTGAATGTATTGGTCTTAATCCAGAATTTGATTTAACTGGTAATAATGTCATTAGAGTTGGTATTGCTGATTCTGTACTTGATGTTAATGATTGAGAATATTTTAATATTTCATCATAAATATTTGGATCAACAACCTCAACTTCGGCTTCACCTTCAACTTTTTCTACTGAAGATGAATCATTTCGAATTTCTTTTGATTTATTTTCTTCTTTATTCTCTTCTTCGCGTTCTTCCTGTTCTTGTTCTTCTTCATCTTCTTCTTCTTCTTCTCTTTGTTCTTCATTATCTTTATCAATTACATAAGCCTTTTCTGTTGTTGAGGATGTCATTGGTATAAAACCTTTATCAATACTTATATTTTCTAAATTAAATGGTAAAGGTGTTGATGATTTTAATGGTAATGCTGTTGATAATGATGAAGACGATGATGGTAATGATGGTATTGTTGGTGTAGTAGGTGTTGTTGATGTAGCTGTAGTTGGTGTTCTTGAATCAATTCGTGATGATTGTTTTAATCGACTAGCGGGAAACGGTGGCCTTCTACTATAGGTACCTGTTGATATTCCTAATTTTGATGCTAAAGTATCAAAAATCAATGATATATCTTGAATATTAACTTTAGGACGATTTTCTGAAGTAAGATTAGTTTTTAAACTTAGATTCATGGCATTATTTTTATTCTCTTCAGTGCCATCTTGAATAACCCAAGCATGTAAGGTTTCATTGAAAATTTTCTTTACTGTGCTTGGTGTAACTTTATTGTCAACTGTTCCATTACTATATTCCCATTTTGTAGGTGTTGGGAAAAGTAAGGAACTATTTAAAATTTCTGTTTTGATGGGTTCTTTCAATGGAGGATGTACTTCATTGGCCAATATTGAACTTTGTTTATTTCTACTTTCTGTATCTGGAAATAACTCTACAGTTTTATTTTTAAAAGGTTTGCCTTGAGCTTTTTCAATATTTTCGGTCGTTGTAAAAGTAATATTGATATTTTGATCTTCAGGTAAAGGAATATCTCCAGATTTATCTTCAACTATATCGTCTATTTGAGTTTTATTTGGAGTCACTTTAATTTCACTATCTTCTACATTTGAAATTGATTCAATTTTATTTTTTGTTGGATTTGCATTCGATTCAATTTCACTATCTTTTTGTTCTGAAATTCTTTCAGGTGCTTTAAATGGTCTACCAGTATTCATAATTTGACCAAGAGGTGTCTGAGTTGTAGTAGAACTTGTTGAAACTAATTTTTCATCTTGTATTTTTGTTTTATTAGAATTATTTGGTTTTCTAAGTAAAACACCTCCACCAATGTCTTCAAATAAATCTTGATTATCAGTAGTTTTCTGTAGTAATTTTTTTAATAAATTTTCATCATTTCGTATAGGTTTAAAATCAGGTGTAACAATGTCATCTAAAAGTTGTACTGGAATGGGATGTGGTTTAACAACTGAATTCCCTAATTTTTCAATACCAGTAAGACCTGGCATAAATACAGGATTTGTAAAACTGTGATAAAAGAGTAAATCACTATCTTTTGTGGTGGCGGTTACAGTACGATTTTTAATATTTTTCAGATATCCTGCAAAATCTTTTTTCAATTCTTCAGCACTTAAATTTGGTAGAGCACTTGACAAAGCAACAAAAGGTGATGTTGTTGGAATTGGAGGTCTTATTGGGCGCCATGGTTCAGTATCCAAAACTGGCGAAGTAGTAAATAAATGAGCATCCAATTTAGGAGGATTAAATTCTTCTCTGTTCTCTGGTTCTGAAGGAATCAGAATTTCAGATTCTTTGATTGGAATCTTTTGTACAATTGTATGATTAAAGTTGTTTGCTTCACGATTTTCACTAAGAGCCACAATGCCTAATAATGGAGTATTATGATACGGTGTAGTCATCATATTTTTAGTTTGAGTTGGAAAATTTTTTAGATTTTTAGTAGTTGTTGTTGGAATTGTTACTGTAGTTGTAGTTGGAACCACTGTTGTTGTTGTTGTAGATTTACTTGTGGTTGTAGGTTTGCTTGTTGTAGTTGTTGTTGATTTTATCACTCGTCGTGTTGTAATAGTAGGAATAATTCTGGTCTTTAAAGTTGTTATAATCTTAGTTACTGGTTGTTTTGATGTTTTTGGAAGATATGTTGTTCCTTTAGTAGCAAGTAGAGTTGAAGCTGTAGGAGCAGGTTTTAAACCATCATTTATTACAGAAGCTGGTTTAACTAACATTGACAAAGTTGTATTAATAGGTGCTTTATAAACTTTTTCAACTGTTGGCTTTGTTTTACTTTTTAATCTAGCCGTTGTATATGATGTTTTTTTAGAAGTAACCGCTTTTGTCGGTAAAGGTTTCTTTCTTGTAATATCAGCATCAGTTTTTGTTATTTCAAATGAACCTTCAAATGAACTTGAAGCAACTGCTGGTATATTATCATTGATATCCGCTTCAGAATCAACTGCTTCTTCAATTTGACTTTGAGTAGTTGTTTTAATAATTTTTGATCTAGCAGTTGTTATTAGAGTTGGAGAAGCTGATTTAATAAGACTTGGTTTTGATTTTTTTAAGAGACTTCTTTCAGTATCATCTTGATTATTGGTCATTATCTAAAAATAAAAAATTAAATTTTATTTTATTAAAATATTAAATTTTGGAAATTTTCGATTTTATAAAAATTTACAAATATAGCAGATTTAATTTTTTCGTCATCAAGAACTCGTTTAATTGAAATAGTATCAGGATCAACACGAATCGATTTGTATAAGGATTTTGGTGAATTTGTCTGATATAAAATTGCTTCCCTGATATGCTCTTCCACACTGCGAATATTACTAGAAAAAATTTTCAATATCAATTAAAATACATAGGAATTTTTAAAATTTTATACAACTTACACTGGAATTTTTCGAATATCTAAAAATGTTCTAAAATTTGTATTTATTAATGGACCATCACCAAAACCTAATATTTCAACTTTAACCGGTTGTAAATCATTATCCCTTAATGATTTTTCTATGAAACGTTCATAAAAATCAACTTTCTGTTTATAAGTTGATGAATGATTATATTTTAAGGCTGTTGTATAAACATCACCTTTCATTATATGAAAATTTCCTTCAAACATCATTACAGCTAAAATTTAAAATTAATCAATATTAAATTTATATGGTAAGAATTTTTATGGTATTTGAAATGTACTTACGCTCATCTAAATTTGATTTGAATGTACCAAAATAAAATGCCAAACCAGCTACAGAAATCACAGCAAGTATTACAATAAATGCAGCAGTTGATAATATAATTGAAAATGATTTCACTTCATGTCGACTTTTTGATGAATAAACTGATGGTGCTAAACTTTGTTCACGCCATATACCCCAATTATTATAACCATATTGATTTGGTGAACTTAAATCATTAAAATATGGATATTTAGACATTTCTGCAGCATTTAATGCAGAACGGTAACCATATGAATTATTTATTTCGTTATGCTAAAATAAAAATAAAAAATGAAATTTTTTATTAAATTAATTAAAAATAAGTTTAATTGAAAGCGACCTTCAAATTATAGTGGGTTCGAGGAATAGGAAGGAATTTGATTGTAGATTTGAAAATTATCTTAACCCAGATTTATTAATAATTTAATTAAAGAGAAATTCATTTTTATTCAAAGTTTTAATTAAAGATAATGTCATTTTACGATTGAGATTTTTAAATCTGCAAAAGAAGTGTTATCACTCCTCGCCGGAGAGACTTTGGAGCTGTGATAAAGAAATTGTCTTATTGGCGAACATACCAGGAGAATGAACCGCCCTGCGAATGATCTCGGTAGGAATTGCTGTGACGAGGAGGAGGAAGAGGCGGCGACCCATTTTCTATGCTCACGCCCGGGTCTCGCGAGGAACAAACGAAAATGCCTTGGGTCATTTTTATTTTTACAGATTACGAACCAAGCGAATGTAAATGCCAGTCACTTTACCCGGTTTATGAAAAGTTCGGGTTGGTTCTTGTAAAGGTAGGAAATCTTGTTAATACAGCTATATCACAGCGGGCATATTTAGCCTATGAATTTGAAAATTTAAATTTCTCTAAAACTACGAGTATTAAAACTATAAAATAAAAATGTCTAAAATAAATTTTTTTATATTTACCGTTATTCGACTTTTTGGTGAACCATAAATATCACTAGTATTGCCCATTAAACTTCTTAAATATCTTTTTGTTCCGTAAACTGTATCCATTTTGAAGGGTATATTATATTATTACTTATTATTAATATTAATTAATTTTTAAATTAAAATAAATCAAATTCTATAAATTGTAAAAACTTTGTATTTTGTAGAATGTTATGTAGTATTTTTATTAAAATTTAATAAATTGCTCATCGCCTCCAATTTATATACAGTAATTTATGCTTTTCTTGACTTTGATCTAAAATTCTTCTAGTTAGTTCAATTTATATAATTAATTGTTTGAATTTTCTTCAATATTCTGCCATCTGGTCATGCTATAATGAGAAAAAAAATTAAATTTTTATTAATAAGTTAATAATGAAATTTAAAAAATAATTATAATTTTATTGATTATATTTGGCACTAGTATTTCCAAAAGCTCTCTTAAATTTAAAAAATTTTATTAAATTTTTAAATTTTATTAACACAAAATTTCAATGAAATTAAAAAAATATTAAATTTGTCCGTTAATTTTAAAATATTCTCTAATTAGAACCAATAAAATTTGGAAATAATCTCCTACTAACAACACACAAAATATTGCGATACAATAACAAATGAACAACATAATGACAGCTTTACTGAACATTTTAAAAACCATTAAAATAAAAAATGAAATTTAATTGATTAAGGTAAAGTTATATAGTTGAATTAATCTTAAATATTCACAGCTACTTATATAGTGAAACCAAAATTGTATACTGATCACAATTGCTCACAACATATTGAATATTCCAACTAATATAGAATAATATATTTGATCTAAAATTGAAATATTTTCTAAAATTTTAATTTAAACTATTGTGGCTTTTAAACCACAATTTACCTTAATTTAATATTTTAATTAAATTAGAAAAATACTTTTACATATTATATATATAGAAAATAGAAAATTCATATAGAGAAATAAAATATGCGAATATATAGGAATTTTAATAATAACAAAATTTCATGAATTTCAAAGGCTATACGGATGTAATTACCACTAATTAAGATAGAATTTGATGAAAAATTTTTCAGACAAATTGAACTTAATCTATACAAAATACACCTACATTTCTGTATTTAAGTACAATTACATATGAAATTTCAATCTATATGCATATTGAATTGGTATGCAATTTAGGCTTAACCAAAATTTTAAATAATTTTATACTTAAATAGAAATTTTTCATATAAACCACTTGTACCAATTATTTGTTTCTCAATTAATCAAATATCGATTTAGATTTCCGGGTTGATTCCGCGAAAAATTAAATTGAAAATCTTGATATACCAAGGAAAATGTTGTGGTTTGCATATTGAATTGCAATAATTTTTGTTATATGAGAGAAGACAATTTTTTTTTTTATACGAGTATACTAAAAAATGTTTCATATTTTCAGTTGAAAATTGCTTATGGCGGTTCTCTCCAAGAAGGTCATTCAAAATTTTGTTCGTTCGAAGTTCATAATGGAAAATTTTGTTCAATAAATGGAATTGTTCAAAAATCATTTGTTACACCGATTTGTACAGAATATGTACAGAAAATTTTGTACAGAAAGTTTTTTGTACAGAAAATTTCTTGGCCAACCGGGAGTCTATTGTATAATTTTCTTATAAATCTTAAAATCTTCTTATAATTTTCTTGTAAGTCCTCATAATCATCCTACAAGAGAGATATTTATTAGCAAAAATAATCATTTGTTATACATCAGATTTTAAAGTTAGACCAGTAAAAATCCCCGCAGCAACATGTATATTGTATAACAGTTTTTTATATTGCAATAAGTATACAACAATATTTTTTTTTTCGTTTATGTTTTAATTGATTTTAATATATTCAAGGTTTTGTGAGGTTCTTTATTTGGGAAAATATTTTCGAGCTTTCAAAATTGCTAAAACAATAAGCAAATTTATTTTTTTAAACAATTAATTATCTAATATAAAATAAAATTATTCAATAATACGTGCTAAATGAGTAATAAATAGTTTGCACACTCCTTTTTATTTTCTAAATATAGTCAGTTGCAATTTAAGATTATTCAAGTCATATCCTCTTGAAAAATTACTACATTTTAGCATTAAAAAAACTAAAATTATTACATTGTTTATGAAAATCTTAAAAATATAATTCAACTTAATTGCAAAAAACAAAAAAATATTAAACAAATTACCGCTCCCGCATTATATTGCATCCATAGTCATAAATACTTTTTTAACTAATAAATACTTTGCCTAGCCTATATTACACATAAAATATTTACAATTATTTATATATAAAATAAATATTTTAACTATATGTATGTTAAGCTCAATTTCCCAGTAAATCCTAATTTCAAAACCATAAAATTTATATTAAAATTTTTGTTATACGCTCATACGCCGACCGCTTTTACATTTAATGTAGTTATAAGTATGAACATTCTTATGCGAATGAAAAATATTTAAGATTTTTAAAATCTAAAACAAAACCTTAAATATAATAGCTATCACTATATCTTGTTACATGCATATATATCTACATATATGTATAGTTAAATACCTATAGATCTTTAGAGTGTACAATAAAAATTCCTATATTAAATACTTAATATTATTCAAATTAATTTTTTTTTTGTTTTTTCTTCTCTTCGGAAATCATTTTTAATAGTTTAGATACATTTTAAGATTATTTTAATCAAATTCAATAAAAAAAACAAATAGTTATACTTAATAAAATAAAATATAGGTTAATGTTATACATTTTAAGGCTATATAGAAAGTTTTTCTGTTTTTTGAAATTCTTAACAAGTGACCTATAAATTTCTTTTTCTATAACAATCATAGATTTTTTATTTTTAATGGAAATTATTTTTAAAAAAATGCGATTTAATTTTCGTACCCAGATTATCTTGCGTATGTACATACATACATAAATGGTATGAGACAATTAAATATAAAAATATTATTTTCTATTACAAATAATCTAATTTTTCCATGAATTTTTCATCTACAAAAAAATAACAAAAAAAAAAGAAAATAAAAGATTTCATTGCAAAACTATGGTATACCTTGAATTTTGAATAAAATTTCCAATTAAAGTCTAAAATATCACACAAGTACTTATTACTTATTTATAACAAAGTATTTCTATACATGAAATATGAATAGTGTACGCGTGTATGACAGTATATGCAAATATATAGTTAATGCACAATAATAATATTCCTAATATAATGTACTAGTCATTTATTTATTATACAAATGGTTCAAACTTGGGAGGTTTTCGTTTATTCAACTCTAGAATAGTTTTAGCTTGTAGCACATTCGAAAATTCACGCTACATACACTATACTCGTAAAAATATAGTTTGTTCGGAAATTACTGGTTGCAATAAATTTTGTCGCTGCCTCCTGAAACTTTTTTTTCTTTTTTTCAAATTTAAAATTCAAAAAAAATTTTAAATTTCAAAATGGCAGATTCAGATATTGAAAGATTATTAAAGTAAGTTTTTTTAAATCTTCAAATCTTGTTAAAATATCCATATTTCGCACTCCAGTGAATTTTAGGGCAAAATAATTTCATAAACAATGTCATCTCTGTTATTTTCGGACGACTGATTATTTAGTTTTTAAACTGGAGACATTTTAAATTTCTTTCATATGCATTATAGTTCTTCATTAATTTTTTGAAATTTGTGGTTTGATTTCACCATAATTAATATTACAACAATTACTTAAACTTATTTTAATAATAATTTATTTCTGTTATATTGTATGCATATAAATGGAAATACAGTCAAACCTCAATAGCATGAACCATATAATTTTTTAATAAAATTAGTTCGTATTAGAGAGAATTAGCGCTATACGATATGAAAAATTAAAATACGAATTATTAATTTTCAAATTTAATTTAATTGTATACATTTAGTTTTTTTTTCCAAATTAATTTTTGTTTACGAAAAATTTTTGAGAAAAAATTCAATATTCAAGCAAATTTTTTTGATTTGCAAATTTCATGAATGTTAAAATGGTTGTTTACATTAAATGAATTAATATTTGCTATGTAATTTCACATTATAGCGAAACAATTGCCACCAAATGACGTGAAAATTGTTTGTGTTAGAGAATTTTTCGGTATATATAAAAGTTTCGTGCTAAGGGATCAGAAATACAAGAAAATTCCTTTCATACTTAATTTAAAATACAAAAAAATATTTCGTATTAAAAAAGAATTCCGTCTTACGAGAGTTCTTGTTAAAAGGGTTTAATTGTTTGATTTTCACGGCAATCTCTAACTGGAATTATTCTGTCTATAACTATTAAAATATTCTCGATTTTAAGAATCTTTTGCATTTTCATCGATATTTCCTATTTAATTTAAGAAAAATTTTAAAACAAAATTTTCTGCAGATCAATATTAAACAATTTTTAAAGATTATTATTAAAAATTAAAAAATTTTTAGAAATTATTATTATTGAATTGTCGAAAATATTAAAATTCAACAAACAATAATCAATTACATTAGCCGGCCAATTATAATTCAAACAATGTTGAATTGTTATGTTAAGAAAATAATATCAAATTTTTTTATATTTAAAGAACTCCCAAACTTCTTCAAAAAATTTCTCAAATAATTCTAATATGAAAGTGTTGCTAATTATTTTAACAGCGAATTTAATTTTAAATGTTTTACTGGACTCTTAAAATTTTTTATTCCGATTAAAAAATTTCACAAAAAATTCCTTAGGAACTTAAGTCTATCTTAAAATATAAGATTTGAATTTAGAAATTTTTTAATTAACAATTCTATAAGAATTAGAATAATTTGTAATTTATAATGTCCAGAATTTCAGATTATTGTAATACTTTCAAGTATATAAAATTTAAACTATTGTTACCAATACTAACAGAAACGGAGTTCATTTTCATTCATTCTCATTCAATTCAGAGCACAGTTAGCATAACAGCTTTCACTTTTATTTATTCAGAAATCATGTATAAATCTATCTCTCCAAAACTCTGTTATTTTTTAAACAAAAAAACAAAAAAAAACTGCAAAAATGCCCACATACACTCCATATTTTACTCTGGTCTCTTTTGAAATAAATTACAACTTCTATTATTGATTCTAAAATATAAATAAAATTCTATATAATTTACAATATATGGCAATAATTGAGATTAATCAAAATATAAACTATGTGAACTATGTTTAACTATATGAGTTTCAATACCGGATGAATGAAAAAAATTTTAATAAATTAAAAAAAAAAAATATGAAAATTTACACTTTTTACATTGGAATTTAAAAATTTTAATAGCACAGTGTGTGTGTGTGCCTGTGTCTTATGACTAAAAAAATATGAATCGAAAAATTGTGAGTCACTTTGGAAATTTTTTTTTTTCTTTTTATTGCTGCAGGTTTATTCTTCTTAATTTTTGCTTGTTTTTTACAATTAACCTAAAAAAAAAAATATTGTATTTTTTTTTTTAAAGTCTCAGTTATTTTTATTTGTTTTAGTTTGTGTTGTGCTTTTCTTAATCTTTTTGACTCTTGAGAAAAATGTGAAAGTGAAAAGTATACTAGTAATTTTTACAACAAAAAGATTATTTACACAGTGTTAATATTAACAATGACCACTACTAAAAAAAAAACGAAAAAACCAAAAAA